GTGTATGACCAGATTATCAGAGGTCTTTGGGACCCACTCTCGTACATATATAGGCTTTGGGCCGTGTACTAGGGTGATTAGCCTTTGGGGCAGCTCTGCGTACGTATGACCAGATTATCAGCTATCAGATTATCAGATTATCAGATTTGAATGGCTTTGCCTTGTACATCGAGATTACTCTGTACATGAGTAAGGCTATTCATTGGGTACTCTTTTTGGTGTGATTTTTCAGTATTTATCCTATTATCAGATTTCAGATTATGGAATTCAGTTAATTCAGTTTTCAGAATAAAGCTTTCAGCTTATAGTATTAAGGCAGCAATATTTCATAATTCTTCATGGATATCAGAGTATTTATAGTCATTACGTTATACAGTTGCCTTTCTAGAATTATGTCCAAGAAATTACGATATGATCATGTTTAGTTTTTAAAAGTGTTACTATTTTTTTTTAAGTTCTTAACGTTAATTAGTGTAAGAATTTTTAGAAAATAGTATAAATGGAAAAGTTTATTTATTTTCAACTATCCACTCATTGAGTTGTAAACTCATATCTTTTTACCATATTTTTCTATCAGGAGAAGGTCGATTTTGAGATATTTGGGAAAGCCTGCTGAAGCAAAAAGAGACCGTTCCATAAGTATGTAATGAATAGTTGGGAAATTTATATTTATTAAGTAATTGTCTAATTTTGGGTGACAAGCATATTCGTAGAAGGGTTTGTAAGTGATGTAATACTTGCATGTTGACAGGATGATGTTGTAGAAGCACTCAGTCAAATTTACAATGTATAATTACTAATATGCCATGTAATCAATAGAGGTTTTATATGTCCAAACGAATAGATGGTAATCTCAACTTTCCTAATCAAGGTAGCCTATACAAATTATTTTAGCTACTAGTTCGTCCTTCTTCCCAATCCAACAAGACGTTTCATCAGAACTCTCAGATATTTTTATAGTAATTTTGGCGTTCAATTTTGGGATTTCAATCGAGATACCTGAACGGGGTATTAGTTCATTCGCACGTTCTTAAATCAATTGGAGTGGAATGATGAATTTATTTCTCCACCTCTTTGAGAATAAATTAGAATTCTGGTAGAGAATGGTCGGATATATGAGATTACAACGACCATTACATCTAATTTGGTTAAGGTCCGAATAATCAGAAATCCTATATTGAAATAGGAAATCTAACATTTTGATGACAAGCAATAAACACAAGGCATGTGTAGTTTAGCATAAAATTATCAAACAAAGAGGGATAAATTAATGTTGTAAATACCTTGCAAATTATCGTTGACAGGCAAACCAAAATCCTGAAATTTTTAAACTTTATCACATAAGAGGAATAATTTCTATAGGGGCCAGGACCAAGAAACTGAAATTTGTTGCAATTATGAGGAAAGGGAAATTAGAAGAATTTGAATTCCTAAGAATTTACAAACCCAGATTCTAAACTCACGGGAGAAACGAAGAAAGAGATCTCTGTCACACCCTATTTATATAGATAAATATACACTCCCCTGTATAGAAATAAAAATTTGACGACACAACCTAGGCATACGTTTGCATATTTTTTTTTTCCAAAGATAAAATGAAATAAGCATCTTCATGATGAGGTAAATATATATCCTTACCTAATCAACTATGATGTTGATACAACATATTACAACAAAGCAATACAATCCAAATTCCAGCATATTCGTGTTGAGGTTCCGAAAGTATGTATCATACCATAATACGATATAGGATTTCCAAAATATATAATATAATAGATTGTAAGACCAAAAACAACAGCTCACAACACAACCCTATAGGTCGTCATCCATGTATGTCAAACTTCAGAATCCCATAAGAACTTTACAACTAGCCATGTCCTCTATGAAGTTTAATGTTCACCTACAGTGCAAGAACTACATGAGCTAATGTCCAATAAGTAAAAATCAAGCATGTTATGAGTATAACTAATATGAGTATACGTCACCATCTCATTTCTTTAAAACACCATGCCAAAATATATCTTATTCAAATATTCATCAAAGTTAACTTGAAATGGATTCATTTAAAATCTTTCAATTCATCTGAGCCTTTGATCCACCTACTATGCAGCGAATAGAACTCTATGCAATATAAATATCAATACTCAAAAACTCAATGGCCAACATGATATCAACACAGTCGAGTGGACCATCCTATTTTGACCACTAGAAGTACATCCTTTAACTATTAAAATG